AGTGGACTAATCATTCTTCCACATATGCTAGGGTCCTGTGCCATTACCTGCTGAAAGGTGCTAGTCTAGTCTACAATTGCAGGGCTGTGAGATGGATCAAATCACCGGGGTAATCCCTTACTCATCTTGAAAGATGTTCTGGGTGATTTTTAAGTGCACATGAGCCAGTAACGAGATAGTTACGAGGGCAGCTTGAGCTTGGGTCTTAGGTTCAAATCTTTGACAAAAAAAATGTTACATACCTCAATCACAACATGACCATATATAGGCACATCATGGCTATATGTGTACATACAACCATTCTTTTTTTATAGAAAATTTGATAATCCGGACAAAGCTTAAGCCTCATTCGCAGAGATGTTTATAATTATGAACCTGTTCAAAGATTGCTTCACTATATTTTGTATTTATTATTTATCTGCCTTTACCTTTACTTTTACTCTTTATGATTGGGATTTTGTTGCAGCAAGCACAGTCATTCTTCAACCAGTATCAGGCAGATGATGTTTACATTATCACTTTCCTTGGGGAATCCTCATCCACATGGGACATCAGCCCACCTGGTAGAGAGGAACTTGCAGTATTTCTCAACAACACAAACGTTACTGTTTCTGTCAAATTTCAATACTCATTCACAAGGTACAGTCATTTCAATTCAATTGAATTTTGAATTCAAAAAAATTGTTTGTATGTTTTTCGAGATTGGGCCAAAAAAATAAATTGTTTGTTTACCCATCATTTAAAAAAAAAAATGATAAATAGGGACGGGAGGAAAACGTTTTGTTTTTTTTTAAATAATTAAAAAAAAAATACACATCAGATGGATTGAAAAAGAGGCCTAGAATGGCAATATCTTACATCATTTAACAACTTTAGACTAATTTGTAGGGCACCTGGCGAAAAATAAAGATAAAGTCACTCACATTTTTTTTAATTTGTAAAGAAAAAAGCTTTTTAAGTTTTTTTGGTTTTTCTGCCCCTATTTTTTCCGGTGAGTTAGGAGCTGGTGGAGGAGGGCAAACAACATTTTTCTTTTTGGCCTAAAAGATATTATTTTGATGGTTCTAATGTGAGATGTGGATGTCAACTTTAGCTCACTTAACTTTTTTAGTTAATATTTACATTACAGTGACTTGCCTTGGTATAATCCTGTGACAAAATATTATTTCTCTTCATCCTTACTATTGTCTTATATTTCTTCCTCACCCTGACAGGCAAACATCTAGTACGTTAGTAACACCAACTGTTGGCAACAGTCATACTATTGAACTACCAGCCTCCGACCCAGATCATACCAGAAAACGACTTATAAATATGCTGTCGTTCTCAGGGGGTCCTGCTCCGTAAGTATAATGAGTACTCAGTGGAATGGTAGCGTGGAGGATTAGACGTCCACTAGCCCCAAAATCATTTTACAATAATTATACAAGAGTCTGTTTTGTAAATACTTTCCTGGATAACCAAACTCTTTACATTGTTTGCTTGAGACCACCCTATAAAAAGTAGAATTGTCCATATTACTAGGCAGCTGTGAGTGTTTGATTACTAATATCTTGCAGATCCTCATATTTTCTATTTCAATATATTGAAAACACACCTCTAAATTAAATAGAATAGTCCAATCCCATGTCATCTGTAACAACACTGCAACCATGCAATGCAAGATTCCAAGTGATGCAATAATTATAGAATGACAGAATAAGTCTTGTCATCTGTTGGCTTTCACTTTTATAGTTAATGACAAACTGTACAATAATATATTTTCATTTTATAACTGATATTATTTTACTGTGATTATTATTATTAGGAGAAGGCACACATCGTAATTAGTGATGATAGTGGCCTAAATCTGCATCAGTATATTCAAATGAATTATTATTTTACATGTATTTTTGTGAATGCTTGCCTTAGTAAAACCAACTACTGTATTGCTAATTGGAGTTGGAAAATGTCTTGAAAATTTCTATACAGTATTGTATTGGTGAACAATAAATTTTCGAAATAGTAGGTAACTGTGAGAGTTACTTGAGTTCTGCACTTATCAAAGAATTACATTTTTTTAAATTTCAGAGTCCTTCAGGATCTTTTCCCTCCATATATGAAGGTTCCCGCTACTGGCCCTGTTGAACCTGTTACTGTACTACTGGATGCAGATAAAGATAATTGTAAGTGACCAAGTTCTCTTGATCTGCTTCCTTTTATTTAAAAGAGTCAAGTTCTAATAAATTCAACTCAAAATCCTGGGCTTCTAGAAAAAGACAACGCTAAAGTCGGTTGAAATTAACCATAAAAATCATCTTATTCTGCGAGCTAGACCCCTCTCAAATAATCAACAAGCCCCCACTTCAGCTTTGCACCCCATCAGTCCCCCACCCCCTATTTCATGACTCGTAGGTATGCAACTTCCACCACACTATTCATTCCAATACTTTTGTATATACCATCTTTCAAATCTTTTTTTAGTATATGACAACTACACAAGTGTTTCTGCAAGGCTAGTGAATGGTAGCATTCCCAATCTAGTTGGAGACCGCGAATGGTGGAGTGTTGGAGAGGTGGACTGCGCCTATAAACGATGTTCTAAGACTTCCCTCAGAGTGATTACTTTTAATGATCGTGTCGCATCTGATGTCTTTGCACCAGTCTCCAGTTATGGGTAAGTGGTGACAACCATATCATGTGTTTAGTTATCTTATGTAGAGCATCAACATTTTAACCTAAGTAATTTTTTCAAAGGGCAAGATGAATTTAACCTAATTATTGATTTTATTAAATTACATGAATGATCCTGACCATTGCAATTAAATTTTTTCATGTTAAAAATATTAGTAAATGAATTGCCCTTATTATGTACAGAGCTGTCAATCATTTATATGTCAAAGGTTGTGTGGTTTTCAATAATATATTGTATTTTGCTCAACTTTCAGGGTCATTGGCCTCTATGTATCACTCGTCCTTGTGATTGGTCGATTTGTCCGGATGTACTTCAGTGGCATCCGTTACCAGATCATGTTTAACGAGCTTCCGAATGTTGACCACATCTTGAGACTGTGTCTGGACATCTTTCTTGTTCGGGAATGCCAGGAGATGGCTTTGGAAGAGGATCTTATGGCCAAGTTAATCTTCCTCTATCGTTCTCCGGAGACTCTCATTCGATTTACGAAATACAAACGGGATTAATATGTAATTGTATTTATCACTTGTGATTTGTTTTACACATTTCATGTTACATTCTCCAAAGCAGTAGTTTGTTAAGAGGGCCAGGAACATACCTGGCATTCTTTTTACTGCCTAAATTCCCAAACTTCTTGCTTTGATAGTGTTGCAGCCATAACCTGAACACCACCCACGCCACCCCCACTTACGATATCCTTGATCCGACCCTGTACTATCATCTCCTTGGGCCTTTTATTGACTACTTTATTTTGATAGTTTATTTTTTACTCTGCACAGCATGTTTACACAGGTTTAAATTTTTGCATTGCCTTAGTTCCTCATTGTATCAATAATGGCCAAAGACTTTAAACCCAAAGATGTTCTGGTTCTTAAATTTGAATGTAGACTGTCTTTCACTAGAAATATTTTTGGATAAAATAGATGTGACCTCAGAGTGATTCAGTAGCTAAGGATTTTTCTTGATTCTTGTAAATGGAGCCAGGAATACCTAAAAACATTATAGTGGATCATTTGACCAATACATTCCATGATGTGAAGCAAAGCACTGATGTGCAAGCTGTTGTTGCATCAGCAATGGATTCTTCACAAATGTCGTGCCATGGTATCATCTCTAGAGGTTCATGCCGTTGAAGAATATGTGGATGCCACTGGCCGAGGGTTCTTCTGTGGCTGCCATGAGTATGATGTCAGTGTTCTTGTATAAATTAATAAAAGCGTTGTTGGATGCATGATTATGTTCTAGTCAGTATTTGCAGACAGATGGAACACAGAACTCTGTCAGCTGACAATAAGTATGCTAGTTATATAACACTTGAATGTAGCATTACCTTTGATTTCAAGGTATGGTATTTAAGCTGACATACCTACCATTATTAGATTTGATAAGAGACTTTTAAGAGACTTCAATCATTACATAATCTTGGATACCACCATCATCAGTCTGAAGTGTAACAATTCGATGAATTTGTATTACTGTAGTTAATAGTTTATCGTTTAAAAGAGGATAAAATACAACATGGCGCTGGTATTTTTCATAGAACAAAGCAAGTGAGATTAGGAAATACAAATATTTGACTACTATAATAGAATTTTTGTAAGTTTACTTTACACAACAGCAAATGCATGCATGGATATACTATTGATTATTAGTCATTAATTATTTATTACCAATTATATAGATTATTGGTCACAGGTTATTGATTATTGATATTCATTTGTATAGATTATTTAATACCTATAATTGGTGATCAGTAATTATATTGATTATATATCCCAAATTATCAGTAATCAATATAATTGATAATTATGATTATTGACTATAGTGATTCAGAAATATATTATCATTTGTCAATATTATTTTATTGATAATTTGATTGATTATTTAATTGGTTATCATAATAATACATTTATGAACAAGTTTGACAAACTCTTACATGGAAATTGTTCATTACTTTTACCACCTATGTGAACTCAGTGAATTGTAATAGTACTACTGTAATTATAATGCATAATTATAGTTTCACCACCCACCATCAATGTGCCATTGTTTTTGTGGGTTTTTAAATTGTATTTAATGTATATTTTTTACAACCCAATTGTACTAGATTATTTTCTTTAGATAATTAAACATTTTTCTATTCATGTTATTTTGTTATTTTACCAATTTATTCAAATCAGTTGTATCATATCTTGATTGGATTATACGAGTATTATGTTTTATGTTAACTACAGTACTTGTAAATAATTACAATAATTGTCATTTTGGTGAATAATGTCAGTATGCCTACATGCAGATGTGCTTAATAACTGGAGTACAGTATATGGTTCAGAATTTGTATATACTGGATCTAATGTTGAATAAATGTGATTGAGTTACATTATGGTTTGATTGCATTGATACACCCCTATCCATAAAATGTAACAGTCCACTTCCCAAAGGAGGTAATTGACTGAGAAGGGAGTAAGTTTTAAGATGGCAGATTGGGACAGGGCTTGGAAGAAGGTAGATGAGCTAGTAAGTTAAAAACAGGCATGGATATAGTATGGAAGTATAAAGGAATTCTTCTTAAAGGCGAAAGAAGTATGTTTATTGTTATTGTTGTTTTATTATTTATATAGCGCCTATTCCTTTATGTTACAAAGTGTTTGTTTTCCCTGGTCATTGGGTTCATAGTGTTGCTGCCATATTGGCACAGTAGCAGGCAACCCCCACCAGGTACCCATTTACTCCTGGGTGGAGAGAACCAATGCAGATAAAGTGCCTTGCTCAGCAAGGGTTTGAATCCCCACCTGTAGATTGGAAAACCAAACCGTTCCCGCTGCACCAAAGTGCTTCCGTTTATATTGATGGGTGGTTTTCACCAGTCAGTGGAGTAGTGGGAGGAATAAGGAAGCACTAGCCTAGCTAGAGAGAACCTCTCTGTTACCATAAAGACAGTGGTGTATCCAGAAATCTTGAAATGAAAATAGAGACGTACCAGTAGATGTGCCTGTATAAAATTAGTGCTTTAATATTCAATAGTTTTTAATACTGGTTAATAATGTAAAAATAATTCTACGTAATTACACAAGCCTTTTTGCACCTGGACCTGCCCACTTATGCTATTGTCTGAGAAATCAGCCTTCTTGTCGTGGACATCTCCCGTTGATCATATGCAATGCATAGAGCTATTATAGGTGAAATATTGGTCTTAGAAAATGCAAGTGTTCAGATATGCATTGAGGATACACAAACAAGAGAAATACAAATACATAATGGTTTGCCTATTTATTGACATTACGATACATGTTAAACAAAAACATATCAAATCAAGGCATGTAGAGGGTGCTTTTCATATATACCTGCTGTTTTTTTTTTTAACTATTTTTTTTTCTAGCAAGTTTAGCACTGGATCAACTATCAACCAATGTATGAATTAGACTGATCCAACATACCTTTTAACAATTTTAACACTCCAATCAGAGCAAGTGCTGATCTTGTTGCACTCCAGCTACATTTGTATATTATGTACCAGCATAAAATATCTTTATGAAGTTGTAGCAAAGTGTATAGGAAGGCAAGAAGCCAGTCTGTTCCTTTTTGTTTAAAAATGAACACAATGCCATGATACACAAATATATGTCGGTTATTTGTCCTCCACGCACTATTTTAAATGTACAAAATTTCAGTGGACTATTTCAATACCAAGTTGCAGTGGGTACCTTTTTATTTATATTATTACTCTCACTGCCATGACAGGTGTTCATCCTTGACATAACTACGGGAATGACTCATTCCTTTATCTTCAGGTGTAGTAGTGCATTTTAAATTAAAAAGTAATTTTGTACTTATCCACTTAGACGGCACAACAATCACATTCAACATCATCTAATAACAATATACCACTCTATGTAGAATATATTCAATATTATAATAAATATAATACCTTGTAGAATATGTTATGATTAAGAATAGGTAGTTTTCACCGCACGACGTTAACCTTAACATAAACGGATGACGTCATAATTTATTCATCTTGCGTTGCGGAGTACATAAATTTCAGGATTTTACTTGCTCTACGTACGTTAGTTACGGTTTGCGCATGAGTATTTTGATTTGTTTACAAAAAGGGGTGGAGCTATCGTGTTACATGTTGGGTACTAACGTTAAAATTTAAAGTTGTACGGCGAAAACTACCTAAGACATCCAAATTGCAAGAAAAAAGAATGCTATGCTGAATTTCCGTAAACATTATTAAGCTGTTGAGTGACACGAATGAATGTGGTTCTCTTGCTAAGTTCCTTTAGTTTACCAGCACCAACGTATGTGCACGCTGACCGCAACCCTCCGAGGATGTCTAAAACAGTCGCGTTTATGTCACCTCGATATGGGACTTCAACTGTCTTGCCTTCGCTTGCTCTGAAATACACAAGAATAAAATTGCTAAGAATCCGATTCAATAATAATATCGTAGATATTTTTACAAATATCAGCATAGGTGTAGGAAGGATGGGAAGCAATAAATACAAAAAATGATCATTAAGTTTTCATTGGAATATGGGGATTTAGTTTAGCATTCTCAATTTTTACACCCCAGGCCAGAACCATCCTACACCCCTCAGTAGACTAGAATCTTAAGTAGGCTGTGAGGTAAACAGTTTACAAAATGCTAATTTTGTATGTTCATATAATTTTACCATCATAAAGGAATCCTGTACATTTATCTAAATTTTCAGTATCAGAAATTTAACCAATATCCACTCATCTACTAAAATATCAACATTCCAGTAAGAAGGATTATGATTGGTTTATACCTGTATTCAGCCACACCTCCTGAATGTTTATTCATAGCAGTTGCTGAGCTCATCCCATAGAAGAGTTTCACTTTCTTTCCACCTTTTTCCAGAACATCTCCGGGGCACTGATCATGGCCAGCCAGCATACCCCCTAGCATTACAAAATCAGCTCCAGCACCTTTAGATTAATTGGGAATAAAATAAATTACAATTCCTTTAATTTTTTTAAATTCCATTAAGAAAAATCTAGCATCTTGCAGGAAAAAATAGTCAAAACATTAAATAATTATTAAATAAAAATATTTATATTTTTAATTAATTCAGCTTATTCCCAAGAACATTCAAACACTGGGATGCACTCCCCAAGGAAATCATTCAACTTTCCCCTATAGAGCAGAGCAGTACCATGGTGACATCGAGATCATGTAAATGATCACCATAATTAAATAATGGCAAACACACAGCACTACTATTGCACTGGCACATAGCTGTCTCTCAGCGGCTGAGCATCCTCGTCCACATGCTGCACAGGCTTTGACAAGTATAGAACTAGAAGTATACACAGAATTTGTCAACAAATTCTGTCAGATTACATATCATAGGGTAATCATTTCAGAGTCGTAGACAAATTGCTCATTTCATCAGACATCATACTGAATCTGGACATTTCCCAAACGATCAGAACTCTACTCCCCAAGCCTTTAAATAAGGTTTGGTAACAAGGATACAAGGAGACTTTATTCGCTACAGGAAAACTTCATTAATTTCATTGCTGAATAAAACAGAAGTAACAGTGCAGCAAGGGTCCCACACAATCAGCTCTCCGCCGTCAAGGGTTTCAAATTATCAGATTTAATAAATCAATTAAATGATCTTAATAATATATCTAAATCTCACCAAATGCTTTAACTATATCACCAGGACATGTGCAACCTCCATCCTGAAACAAACAGAATATTAATATATCATCCAACTGTTAGTATTTCAGACATAAGTTGTAATAATCATAACACAAGTCTCCCTCCAATTAAAGACCACTTTTGGGACCAGGGTTTTCATATTCTTTAGCAACTTTTACCTTTAATTAAAATAATAAAAATAAAAGACATTTGTTAATTTGGGACCACAGAAAAGTGGAATTGGAAGTGGTCTTTAATTAGAGAGATAATTAATAATGATAAATTATTAGACACTTACAGAAATGATATGACCACCTAGGCCATGGGCAGCATCCGCACACTCTATGACTGCACTCAGCTGTGGGTACCCTACTCCAGTCTTCTTTCTTGTGGTACACACAGAGCCTAGAAATGATGGAAAACAAACCAATACAGTACTGTTGTAACTGACTACTCACTTCTTGAGAACATAAATCTATTGTACATATGGCTTGAAAACTTCTGGACACAAATTTAGAGAGACTTGATCCAATTAAAATGTCTGATAGTGTCATGTGATTTGCTTCACATACCTGGACCAATGCCAACTTTGATGATATCAGCACCAGCTAGAATCAGCTCCTCAACCATCTCCCCAGTAACAACATTCCCTGCCTTCAAATATCACAAGCAAATTTATTGAAACATTTTACATTTAAATAAACATTATTCACAATATTTATAC